AGACGTTTCCAGCAAATAACAAGTTGGATCACCACTGCAGTGCCATATCTGCTTTGCTCCAGACATATTTGCCGCCTCGCTTGAAAAACATATTTTCATCAAAGCCACTGCATTGTATAGCATTTTTTACCCCTACATCCAGGATTGACCGAGAAGGCTCTTTTCGGCCATTGACACAGTTGAGAAAACGCATCTGGGAAAAACACAAAGAAAAGAATTATAACATAAGAGAATTAACATCTGTGTACAACTGTTCTACCAAACCATCATATCACTTGAAGTTAGTGCCTAATTCCAATCCTGCAAATGACTTCACGTAATTATATACATGGGAATATTATTAATATTTAAGGCTCTGAATGGTACCATTAACCATAATGTATTTGTTTTTAGCTCATGTGTAAAGATTTCACAAGTAACGGATCATAATTCCCTTCATTCAGTGCCATCGTAATTTCATTGTAATTTCATTACAATGAGTGAACAGTTGTTTGTTGAGGAATAGAAACAAAACAACAAAAACACAACATAGGCCAAATTGTCTGAAAAGTCTTTCCAGAAACCTTTTATACTGAAATTTAGAGGAGTCTATAGGCTAAAATACATATATTTGTAGGTATCAATCAAGTTGGTCTTGGCAAAAACTAATATCTCAGTCAAGATATTGACTGCACAAATCTTGATCTCGAGACAAACTGCATTGTTTTTTCCTCAATGTGTAAGCCAACCATCTGCCCGGTTTGTTAGCGTTGCAAAATGTATTATGCTTCGCGTATTGTAAACTTGTTGCAACTTGTTCCGCCATAAGCATTTGAAATTGGTCTTTCAAAAGTTTTATAGCACTTCGTATTCTTTCATCTGTTGGGTTTTTAATAAGTAACTGTTCTTTATTCTTTATTTCCATTTCCAACTCAAATCTTTTCTTTTGTCGGAACAGTCTATGTTTAGAATTCATGTAGATGAGTACCCCTCTCATATAAGCTTTACTTGCATCCCAAACAATTTCAATTGGGGTACCTTTATTCAAATTTATTTCAAAAAATTCTTTCAAATGCTTTTTAAGTTCTATTGTATTTTTTTCATATCTAAACAAGTTCTCATTTAATCTCCAAGAACGTCTCTCAACCTTATCCATCTCAATTTCTATCCATACAGGGCTATGGTCAGTCAGAGTTCTTGGAAAAATCTTTGTTCTTTTTGTCTTAACAAGTAGATCATTTGACAACAGGATAAAATCAATCCTAGAAAAAGATCTATGTCTATCCGAAAAAAAAGTGTAGTCCAATTCATTTGGATTATGTATTCTCCAAACATCTTTTAATTCCATATCTTCTTTCATATCAAAAAAAGTCTGTGGTAGTCTAATTCTAGACTTTGCCAAGCTCTTTTTATCTAGTTTAGAATCAATTACTCCATTCCAGTCTCCCATAATTAAAATAGATCTATAGTCCCATTGCAATATTTTAGTATGTAACATCTTATAAAAATAATCCTGTTGTTGGTTGGGAGCATAAATTCCAATCAAAAGAATTTGACCATTTGCTGTGAGCAATTCAATTGCTACAAACCTACCATCTTGATCTGCTTCTATAACTTTCGCTGTTAATTTTTTATTTACATAAATAACCACACCATTCTTTTTCTGCGAAGTTGAAGATATATAATGTGCTCCTAGTTTTGAGTTTATCAAATATTTTTGATCTTGAGTTGTGATATGCGTTTCTTGTAAACATATTATATCATTATTAAATTGTTTCAAATATGTAAATAATTTCTTCCTTTTCTGTGCTGAATTCAACCCATTGACATTCCAAGATAGACACTTAAAGGTCATCAGCCTCTTTCTGGAGCACAGAGCAAAATATTTGAAGTTCATCCGAGAGCTTCGATCTCGCTCCTCCCATAGCTCCACTCTCTTGTACGGTACTCTTAACTGCCTTCTTGTCTTGTCTTTCCTGTTGTTGTTGTTGCTGTTGTTTAAGTAGCTTGGATTGGGCTCTAGTTATACGTTGATCTTTAACTTCTGTCAACTGAATCAAATCCAAAATTGGAGAAGAATCCAACAAGGGCTCACTCAGAAAACCTCCTTCTGCACCTTGCACGTTTTCTAATTCCTGCTTAGACTGTTCTTTCAATTGCCTCTCTTCACTCTCCTTAATCTCCAAAACTGTAGATGTACGTGGAGATGGTGTTCTTTCCTTAAGAATAGTACTGTAAAAGTGTTGTGCCTTCTCCACGGTATTCAACCGATATCCTTCTCCCTTATATCTAAAAATTATCCCAGCTGGTGCGTCCCACCGGAAGGGTATCTGTAAATTTTTCAATTCCTTAACAAGAAAACCAAATTCTTTTCTCGCTTTCAGCATTTTAGGAGGTAATTCTTTAAAAATTTCAAGTCGTGAGCCCCCCACTTGTACAGAAGTGTGAAAAGATTTTTGCAGGATAACATTTCTAATTTCTCTCTCAGTAAAGTATATGACCACATCTCTAGGCAATTGTCTTTGTCTGGCCACCCAAGAGTTCACTCTGTAAATTTTATCTATTTTATGAAATACCAAATCAGGATTAGCTTGTAAAATCTTAGCCAAGGCTTCAGAGCAAACCTGTCTCAAGTCCTGTCTCTCCTCCTCTCGAATTCCCCGAAGCCGTATGGCAAATTCCATCGCCCGGAATTGTATCATAACAATCTCTTCTTCAATTCTCTGCATTTTATTGTCAACTTCATCAATTTTATAATCATTGTCTTTCATCTTAACATTAACTTCTGATTTGAATTCTTCAACTTTAAAATCAACTTTCCCAATAAATTCTGCCAGGCCAGACGCCACTTCTGATATTTTTTTGGTCACCTTATTTTGATTCTGTTTCACCATGTCTTTAACTTCATTAATTTCCTGCATAAATTCCTGATGTGATTTTTGAAGTTTATCATCTATCCCCTGTTGAGATTTTTGAAATTTGTCATCCAGAGTTTTAGAAATAAATTCTTTTAAATCTCCCACATCAAATTCTTTTTTCTGGGTTTGTAGCTGTTGAGCAGGGGGAAGTTGCGTTTGATGTTTGTGTGTGGGGGATCCCCCCCCCTAATGCCTTCCCTTCCTGCTTCTTTGAAGCCATCCTGGCTCGTGATCTAGTTTTTCTAAAGAGGGAAGTTCCTTTTCCTTTCCCTCCTGCACAAAGACTTCTAAAAAAGTCCCCCAGATTTGATCAAACAAGGGTTAAAATAAAGCAAAGTCCAATATTGAAAAGGGAAAAAATTTCCCAGTTATTTCTCTTATAACAAGCAAGGCAGCTTAGTAGCAACTTGGAAACTTTGTAGCAAAACAAAGTAACTTCACCAATCCACACTCGCTGGCTCGTTAACTCTGAAGCTAGGCGCCATATTTTTTCAAAGCACTTTCACTCATTCGCATTTTCTCAGATTGAAAAGTCAACAAAGTGCTAATACTTGCGTTTCCAAATTTCAGGATTCAGGTAGTTGCGCTGTTTATTAAAACTGGTTCTTTCGCTTTAAGTTTCCTGCAGCCGGCTTGTTCTGCAAAAGCAGAATCGTCCCACGTCGCCCGGAGTTCCAGCAGGTTGGGAGGGAGCCACGCCTGTTTCTCCCCAGAAACTTCCCTGGGGGGTTACAGGGGCTCAACCTGTGCCCTGCGATCTCTCCTTCTTCAATCCTGTGGATTTAGAAGTTTTCGAGCCGCTTCTTCGTCTCGAAGCGGCTCTACAGGCGGCGGGGCTGGCGGAGCTTCAAAGAGCGCCGCCGTCGCCGAAGACAAGGAAACCGGAAGTCCATGAATGCTCTCTTCAGTCAAGTTCAATTTTTGGTGACATGCATATAGCTTTTTTTTTTCCCTGCAAAAAATGGAACTCGTTTACCATTGCCAGGACTGCATTTTACTAGGAATTTTGTTGACTTTTCTGTCTAGACTGAAGTTCTGGCCTTTCCTGTTCATCTCCCATCCAAGTTCTAATCAGTCCAACCCTGTGTAATTTTCTAAGATCAGACGAGAAAATGATAGGAAATTGCTTTTTTTTTAATTACTTTTTTTTTTCTTTTTTGGTGGAGGATGTATCCTATGCTAATGCACAGCAGCTGGAACTAGAAAGGATTCCTTCTTTCAGTGATGGCGCACAAATCAACCCTGGAAGGGTGGGGTCCCTCATATAGATCTGAAGGAGACATTTGATGCAGGTAAGAGACACCATCCCAGTAGTGAAATCCATTTTTTTTACTACCGGTTCTGTGGGCGTGGCTTGGTGGGCGTGGCAGAGGAAGGATACTGCAAAATCCCCATTCCCTCCCCACTCCTGGGGGAAGGATATTGTAAAATCTCCATTCCCACCCTACTCGGGGGCCAGCCAGAGGTGGTATTTGCCGGTTCTCCGAACTGCTCAAAATTTCCGCTACCGGTTCTCCAGAACCTGCTGGATTTCATCCCTTAATAGCCAAAGCAGCATTTTGCATAGCAACAGAAATGTCTGCACAAAAGCAGGAGTATGGGGATAAGCAACAAGAAGCAGATTTTAAACCTGTGTTAGAAATGAACAATGAACTGATTAGTTGAATTCTAGCATCCTGCAAAAAAACCCAACAACCTATGAATATAGACTGGATGACTAAATCAGTTAGAATGAATGAATGAGTGAACGAATGAATGAATGAGTTTGCAGGAAAAATTACTCAAATGACATACTTTTAAAAGAATGTTTATTGAATTTATATACAGTAGCTATTTGTCTCCATGCATGATTCTCAGGAGCTCACAAAGAGTAAAAAACAATATGAAAACAGCAATACACACACACACATACAATAAAAACAATAGGAACCATAAAACCAGTGGTGGGATTCAAGTAATTTAACAACCCTAATTAGAGTTCTTGGCCCTAATGATTTCTTCCAACAACCAGTCTGCCAAACTGCTCAGAAAGTTAACAACCGGTTCTCCCGAAGTGGTGTGAACTGGCTGAATCCCACCACTGCATAAAACCATATCACAAAATAAAACATATCTTCTTTTATTTTTTTGCAGATTATTCCAAAGATGTATTGGCCATCATTAGTCATAAGTAAATTCTGTTAAAAAAATGATAGGAGTGGAAATCAGGAGCCCTTGGAATCTTCTTATTTCACTTCCAGAATTTGCAAACGAAGTTGCAGAAGCCAGTGCTACATTTTTACATGGTATTTTGAGGTAAGAAACACAGAAAAGGTCTAAAATTGGCTTTCTGCAGTATTGCAAACCAAGCTCACATGCCACACCCACAAACAAAAGTAACTTAGAAAAATGCAAATGATACTGACCCCAGATAGCCCTACTCACATTGGCCTTTATTTTATGTTCCTATTCTTATGCTTTCTAGGAAAACATTAAAGGCAGTTTTGGGTCACCTGAAAATTGCCAACTCAGTTTGAAAATTGTATTGATTTTATTTTCAGTAATGCACTTGTGCTCACCATGGCAACTTAAAGAGTTCTGCTGTACCTTCTGTCTGCTGGTAATTTGTCCCAAAATCTTAAATTTAATTATCCTGACCTTACACATGTAAGTTGGTATTGATGCATTCGTGTGTTGAAAAAAGACAATTACAATCTTTTTTTTTCTTTTACATAGAAGCATCCTACTGGCATTAAATATTTTAAAATTCATCTCTGCAATCCTACAACATGGCAGCAGCAAAAGTCTTGTTTCCCAGTATTCCATGTTTGACTATTGGACAAGTGTCTTTCTAAAGTCAACATGTTCTGTGCTGGTACAATTCATTGTTTGTGAACAAAACATTACTTCTTTTTTTTTTTTTTTTTTTTTTGCATAAAAGCAACGTTGACATAGCAGCATCCACTACTATGGTAGCTAGAATGCAGGACAGTTTCTTTCTAAAAAGACAAAAAAAACATTGAGCATCTTTCTCCGAAGAGGAGAGTAAAATGAGTACAGTTTGTGCTTGCAGACGTTTCCAGCAAATAACAAGTTGGATCACCACTGCAGTGCCATATCTGCTTTGCTCCAGACATATTTGCCGCCTCGCTTGAAAAACATATTTTCATCAAAGCCACTGCATTGTATAGCATTTTTTACCCCTACATCCAGGATTGACCGAGAAGGCTCTTTTCGGCCATTGACACAGTTGAGAAAACGCATCTGGGAAAAACACAAAGAAAAGAATTATAACATAAGAGAATTAACATCTGTGTACAACTGTTCTACCAAACCATCATATCACTTGAAGTTAGTGCCTAATTCCAATCCTGCAAATGACTTCACGTAATTATATACATGGGAATATTATTAATATTTAAGGCTCTGAATGGTACCATTAACCATAATGTATTTGTTTTTAGCTCATGTGTAAAGATTTCACAAGTAACGGATCATAATTCCCTTCATTCAGTGCCATCGTAATTTCATTGTAATTTCATTACAATGAGTGAACAGTTGTTTGTTGAGGAATAGAAACAAAACAACAAAAACACAACATAGGCCAAATTGTCTGAAAAGTCTTTCCAGAAACCTTTTATACTGAAATTTAGAGGAGTCTATAGGCTAAAATACATATATTTGTAGGTATCAATCAAGTTGGTCTTGGCAAAAACTAATATCTCAGTCAAGATATTGACTGCACAAATCTTGATCTCGAGACAAACTGCATAAATCATTAAAAGAAGAGTTTCATCTGGAGGTATAGTCTCCCACCAAAGCAGAGGAATTAGGCTGAATCAATGTATATTCCAGAGTTGTAGAAAGAAATGAATTTATTCGAACTTCAAAATGTGCTTCAACCTAGCAGTTGCCTGTAACCAGAAATTAAAAATGGCCACCAAAGGACTCAGAGAAATGCTTATATATGCAGTATCTCGATAGTGTACCAATTGTCAAAAATGTTTCCCTCTTTCCCTTTTCTCAACATCTCAAAGTGCCTGAGTTTTAAGTATGTGCATCAAATGTTCAGTTGTACTGCACATATGTGCATTGCTCTACTTTTGTAACACTACAGAATGCACTTTTATTCCAATGCAATGGACTCACTATTAATTAAACACCTACAGGTTTTTTTATTTAGTGAACATGGGAGGCGGGTAGGAAAAGAGTCCATTAGTTCATGAATCTATTTTAAATTAAATAATATATTGAGGGGTCCTTGGTACTCTCTGAGCTTGGTTGTTTTCTTGCAGATATTTCATTACCAAACTAGGTAACATCATCAGTGGTAGTCTAGTACTGATGATATTATAGCTTGGGTAATGAAATGTCTACAGGAAAACAACGAAGTTCAGAGAGCACTAAGGATTCCTCATTTCAATCCTGAGCCACACATTTTCTCCTTTATTGAAAGAATACATTATTCGCAGCAACACTATCATACAAGTGATGTAAATGACATTATTGCATCACATTTATGACTTTGCCCAAGTGATATAAAATGATGCAAACACAATGGAAATTTTCATCTGTTGTATCCAAAATCTGTGGCTCTATGGTCCGCCAAATCAGGCTTTCGCAGTATAAGGGAGACTTATACCTGAAAACTAATATTTTATTAGTTCTGTTTATAATACTAAACTGCAATATGCTTCGTTGATTTCAGGGGATTTTACTTCCAAGAAGTATAAGTTCTGATCCCCCTATGGCAAGGCCTGAAGTAAAGCTCTTGATTTCAGAAACAGGAAAAATATTTTCAAAATATAGAGCAAATAAAATGACAAACAAAATTACTTACATATTCATCCAGAATTAAGTAGGAATCTCTCATCTGTGAAAAGATGGGAAAGCAGCAACTTTAATTTACCATAATGTATAATTGTATATTTAGAGAGTGAGGCTGGATGACTTTGGGCCAGTCACTCTCTCCTAGCCCAACCTATCTCACAGGGTTGTTGTTGGAGAGAAAATAGGAGGAGAATGGTGTGTAGGATGTGTTTGCTGTCTTGCATTATTTGTAAAGTAATGGGATAAAAATCTAATGCATAAATTAAAAAACAATAGCAGATTTCATTTACAGGCAATCTTCAACTTATGACTACAATTGAGCCTAAAATTTCTGTTGGTAAGTGAGATATTTGTTAAGTGAGTTTACTCCATTTTACGACCTTTCTTGCCAGTTGTTAAGTGAAACACCGCAGTTGATAAATTAGTAACCCGGTTGTTAAGTGAATCTGGCCTCCCCATTGGCTTTGCTTGTCAGAAGATTGCAAAAGGTGATCTCATGACCTTGGGATAGAGCAACCGTCATAAGTGTGAACCAGTTGCCAAACATCTGAATTTTGATCACATGATCATGGGGATGCTGCAAAGGTGGTAACTGTGAAAAATGGTCATAAGTCACTTTTTTCTAGTGCTGTTGTAACTTTTAACGGTCACTAAATAAACTGTTGTAAGTCGAGGACTACCTGTATGTGCTTCATATAGCTTACAGTGGTTTTTTTTTATTTTGAGCTATTGTTTCAAAATAGTCCTTAATATAATGTGTAAATTAAAAGCTACCTGTGCCTAGAGAATGAAATTAAATTAGCAGAGAGTCTATCATGGAAATTTGATGTGACGTAAAATCATTTTGTGCTATGATTTCCCACACCTATAACTACTATATTTCCAGGAAAGATAGCCATAGAATTCTGATGATTTAAGCAAGTTCCTCAAAAAAGAACACGGCAAAACTCAACATTTAAACATGAAATTGTTCACATATAAAAAGAAGAGTGTAGAGCTTTGGAAGGAGTATAGCAGTGGTGGGTTGCTCCCGGTTTGCACTGATTCGCAAGAACCGGTAGTAAAAATTTGTAGTAGTTCCAAGAACCGGTAATAACATTGGCTGGCCACGCCCCCGAACTGGTCCCCAGCCCGGTCACCACTCACTTACCCCGCCCACCTCAGCAGAGGCTTTTTTTTTTTTTTTAAAGCATTTTCTCTACAACCTCTTCGGCTGAAAAAATGCTTTTAAAAGTTAAAAAAAAAAAAGCTTCTGATGATCCCGTGGCTCAGCTGGGATCATCAGAGGCTTTTCAGAGCATTGTTTTCTGCAACCTCTTCGGCCGAAGAGGTGGTAAAAAAATGCGTTGAAAAGCCTCTGACAATCCCAGCTGAGTTGCCTGATCGGCAGAGGCTTTTCAAAGCATTTTTTTCCTGCAACCTCTTAAGGTTGTAGAAAAAGTGCTTTTAAAAGTTAAAAAAAAAAAAAGTTGGCCACGCCCACCCAGTCACATTACCCCCCCACCAAGCCACACCCACAAAATAAGCCATGCCCACAGAACTGGTAGTAAAAAAATTTAGAACCCCTGGAGTATAGGTATTCTTAATTTATGACCACAGTTGAGCTCAAAGTCTTGGTCATCAAGTAAAGCTGTCATTAAGTAAGAGATCATACAACTGCTTCGTCAATGACTCCATCCTAGTGCGTCCAACTGTGATCATTTAGTGAGAGCCTGGGTCATTAAGTATACAGAGTCCAAGGTAAAGAACAGAGAGTCCCGGGTGGGAAGGAGACCCACACTCGGGACCTAAAAATCCTCCCTATCAAAATCCAAATAGAGCCGTGGTGGTGAAGTGGTTAGAATGCAGTATTACGGTTGTAATTAAGCAGGTTATACTGTGACTGAGGTGATTTTATGGGAAATTTTTTCGTTAAGCCGTTAAGTGAATTCTTTGCCTACAATAGGTGCTTTTTCCTGGAAATTGGAAGTACCAGTAAATGCTGGTTTCTGGCAAAAAAGAGAAGAGCCTGTAGTACAGTGGACTAAAGCACTGTTATTAACATCTGCTGCTTGCAATTACTGCAAGTTCAAATCTCACCAGGCTCAAGGTTGACTCAGCCTTCCATCCTTTCAAATGTAGGTGAAATGAGGACCCAGATTGTGGGGGCAATAAGATGACTTTGTATAAAATATACAAAAGTATGAAGACTATTGCTTAGCGCATTGTAAGCTGCCCTGAGTCTACGGAGAAGGGCAGCATATCTATCTATCTATCTATCTATCTATCTATCTATCTATCTATCTATCTATCTATCTATCTGTTCGATTTATATGCTGCCCTTCTCCAGAGACTCAGGGCGGCTTACAATGCGTTAAGCAATAGCCTTCATACTTTTGTATATGCCTGCTTAGTAGGGCTTTTTGGCCCCCCTTAAGCAGTGTTCTATTTTTTTTATACAAAGTCAACTTATTGCCCCCACAAACCGGGTCCTCATTTTACCTACCTCGGAAGGATGGAAGGCTGAGTCAACCTTGAGCCTGGTGAGAATTGAACTCGCAGTAATTGCAGGCAGCTGGCAGCTAAGTGCTACTTTAACAGCAGTTTAGTCCGCTGTGCCACCAAGGCATATAAATTAAAGCAAAAAAAAAAAAAGGCCATAATTTCCAGTCATCTGACTGTAGGATGCGGCCATAAATAAGGGCCCTTTGACTGTGATCTGTGGAGGAAGGGACAGTAATCAAAACTCTGAATCAAGGTTGAAAGTACTTTTTTGGATACATTATAACTTCAAACAGACATTAAGTAACCAGTCATAATCAAGGACTAACTGTATAATAAACAACTCAAGGTAGCAAACATATCTAATATTGCGCTTCCTCCATTTGAACTACTGAGTTATAAAAGAACAAATGATTTTTAAAAATATAATCCAAAGTAGGGGAGGGGGAATCAAAGGATGGGGAAAGAGTTGTTTTCATTCCTTTAATAAGTCTAAATGAAACAAACAGATCCTAGAAAAGTTAAAATTCTGTTGAACCCAACGTTAATTTGTGGTTTTGCAAAATCTAAATTTTTCCTCATGAATGTCCCTATTGAGACTATTCACGATCAACAGTTATGTGATGCATTAGAATATTATTACTGTATCATGGTACAGTAATAATGGAGTTTTATACATCTAATTATTATAGTGGACCAGTGCCATGACTGTTAATTTCTGATGCAATTGCTTGCAACAGTGTTAATAAGAAATGTGCAGCAATTCCCCTTGGTATAACACTGGGCATTTAGACTCCCAAAAATGCTAAGCGAATATAAACTGCAAGCATTCTAACAAATCCCCATTAAAAAAAGCTTTCTTGTAGCAAAAGAAAAAAGAACTTGGATAATTGCATTTTGCCATCAGAATTAGGACTTCTAATGCCAAACAATAAATATATTGCTTTCAAAGTGTATGAACAATCAGCATGATTACCTTTTGATTAGATTCAGGGACTAAGCATGGGAGATTTTTATGACGATGCACAAATCGTTCAAAATCTTCATCGTTGATGATGAATCTTTCAGCTTCTCTCAGAGATTCTTCCCCTGTATTTTCTCCTTCAATGAGCAAGCACTGAAATATCTAGAAAGCATCAAGTGTATGATTAAGAGAGAACTCTTGCTGGTTACAATTACTGTGCAATAGAACAATACTACCAAGAAAATTCAATGAAAGCTTTTATAATTCTATAAACCAGATGTTATTATACTGTATGGGTAATTTGCAATTATATCCATGGTCAAAAACTGGTAAAAATTTCAGCTTCTGGATTTTGTGCTTGAGGTGGAAGAAAATACAACTTTGATTCTGAGTTTTGCTGATTAGATAAGTTTGCTGTTATAGAAATGGCTAATGCATATTAAGTATGTAAAAATAAAAAGTTGAGGCTGAAATGTTAGTATTTTAGTCTACTGTGCTAAAAAGAATCAGGAGTCAATGCTTTCAGTTCATTTTCTGTCTTTAACCTACACATCTTCCTCTTCCCTTTTCCCTCCTCATTTTTTATTTTCATTTTCTTTTGTATTTTATATCTCGATAAACTTAATAAAATTATTAAAGAAGAGTGGTGAAAACTATTAAGACTAACCAAGAATTATTGGTTAGAGTAAGTTTCTCAATCTTGGCAACTTTAAAATGTGTGAACTTTAACTTCCACAATGCTAGCTGGGGAATTCTGGGAGTTGAAGTCCACCCATCTTAAAGTTGTCAAGGTTGAGAAACACTGGATTAGTTAACCTAAGAATTATTAACTTATCAACTGAGTCTAACAGCATCATCATTATTATTATAGTTGATCGCTCAACCAGCCATTTAGAGTGGGTGTGGTATTTAGCTTACATCTCAGCAGTAAAAAACAATACAATGAAAGAAGGAAGACAAATGCATCTAAACCAACAACCCAGCACATCAAAAGAAAACTAACAATCTCCACAGCCATCCTAAGCCCAAATCTAGGAGCAGAGTCTTTCTGGACTTGAGGAACAGCTGCAAGATGAGAGCTGGGCTGAATTCTGAGGAGGTGGATGCTGCTCCTGAGAGTGGGGTCCAGGTCAGAGAGGATGTCCGTCCTAGGTCCTTGATAGATAACAATGTTTAACTAAATTAGGGACCTGGACTGCTCTTATTTTGCTCAATCTTACTTATCTCCTTGAAAACGAAGGAAAATGTTACCATGGCATATTAGTTTGTTTATTAACCATATTTTGATACCCACCCCCATCTTCCTCATAGAGTGACTCCATTATTTTTATATCGCCATATTATCAGGTTCTATGTAGGTATGTGTTGGTGTGCAAAATGCTTCAGACTTGAATTGTTCTGAATTGAACTCAAAACATAATTGTTCCAAATTCAAAATATCTTGCATCTGTGCAAGAAGACTGTTCTGAGTCTGGATCAGCTCTTTTGAGTACTTTGGAAACATGAAACAGCTTGAAACAACTTTGGTACAGTGGGAACCAGTGCCCAGATTACACGAAACATCCTATTTTTAATATTTACAATTTTCTGTACAACCCCGATGTAGGGCTCATCTTTCCGCTTAGTCAAATATTCAAATTAAAGTTATCAAATACTGTAGCAATAATTATATTAGCCACAAGCAAAGCTAATTTGAGTGACCATCCTGTTTCATAGAGTGGTCAGCTGTTACAGTCCCCTCTGAGATGACTGTATTGAGATCAGAGATTTATATTAGGAAGTGCAGGTGTAAAAAAAAACATTTACAATTTTGAGTTTCAGGTAGAACTCCATTTTGGTGACAATATAGATCAGAAAAGAAAAGGGTAGACAAATAACATGTTATATTTGGAATAAGTAAATATGCCCATATATGTTCAGCAAAGGATGAAAAAAATGGTTTTCAAAAGATGCAGATCCTTATAGTCAACTAACTTACTGCCATCTAATGGATGCTGAAGACATTGTGGTATATACAACATGAATGGGGATTTCTAAACATCCTTTGCCAAAATGCCACAGGCAAATAACCTTTAAATGCTAAATAGTGAAAAGTTTCTTACTTTAGGACTCTGCAGACTGTAAGAGTCAATATATCATAGATCAACACCATCACTATAGTTTTGATAATGGTTAATATTAACCTAAGTTGTAGCAGTTAAAGTTGATTGGCAGTAAATTGATGTCTAGTAGTAAATTCCCAAGTGATCTACAACAGATTCTGATTCTTAATACTTTAGCAATAGTACCATAAAATTATTTCCTTCATCAGGCCAAATTATAATCCTGAAAGTAAAATGAAGAATGCTGGGAGTGATAAAAAAATGAATCCTTGGATGTGTCTACATATATATCCACACGTCTGTCCTTAGGTTCTTTTGAAGAAACTGCTGGATTCCAAATTCTTTAATATAGATTATATTTCTTTGCATCAAGTCCAGATTCCTTTAAGGGACTGAAGTTAACTTTTCCAAGAAGTCAGAAAAGCAATGGATATGATAATGGCAAAAAATGAACCAAGTCCATGCGACACACATACAAATGGACAGCTTTTTTTTAGAATATGAAGGAGTTGTTTTCTTTGTTTTAAAAATATTTTAGGGGTCCTACCCATTATAGCTAATATTTCCCACTTTACAATATCTATTTTCTGCTCTTACCTTCCAACGGACAGGATTTAGAGCTTTGATCTTCTCATTCATGTCTTCTTCCACATTGAAACGATTGATCACGGAATTTATCTTGAAAGCAACATTGTATTTTTGGCACCATATCTTCAGTTTTTCAAGATTTTCAACATGATTTTTCTTTCCTTGCCCACGGCCAATTAAAACATTGACTTCTTCATTGAAGCTATCACAAGATACAGCAAGAATATCTAGATATTCCCCTAAAGCAGAAAGAGTTCACTAGTATTTAATATCATCAGCCAATTGTCATCTAAATTTATCAAGTTCTAGGTGAATAACCATTACTTTGATTATAAACATAACCATAATGTATTATGCCATGTTTAAACTGCTGGCTTACTGAGAATTACATAACAATTAAAACTCTTCTTCTTTACATCCTCTTTTACCACTTCAGGTGTCAAGGGGACCAGAAATACTAACATTATTTATTTGAAATTACCCTTTTACAAACAGGTGCTTTAATATTTTGTTATTTATATGTCAGTAAAATAAACCGTCTTTAGAATATGGAAACCAAAATGAAGCACATAAAGATTTGTAAGATGGAAGCTAAAATATACCTGTTGATGGTAAACCCAAAAATCTTCAGAGTAACCACTGTTAAAATACTAAAGGGAAGAAATTATAAAACAACATTTGTTGGGTTAGATTCAGTGGTGGGATTCAGCCAGTTCGCACCACTTCGGGAGGACCGGTTGTTAACTTTCTGAGCAGTTTGGCAAACTGGTTGTTGGAGGAAATCATTAGGGAAGAGAACCGGTTGTTAAATTACTTGAATCCCACCACTGGTTAGATTCAGTCTGTTATGTGAATCCAGCAGTGGCTAGAAATCATAATTCAAGGCTGAACATGCTGTGCAAACCTTGTGCGAACCTAGTGAAGGCCTCGGAATGGTATAAGCATAAAATTCTCAGAACAGAGAGATACAGATGTGACATTATGCCATGCCCTCCTGTATGTAATTTTAAATGATTTCTGCCACCACCACATTAGAAGGTAGTATATCATTCACAGCCAAAAAATTAAAAGACGCTTGCTCCTGGGGAGGAAAGCTATGGCAAATCTAGACAGCATACTAAAAAGCAGAGACATCACCCTGCCAACAAAAGTACATAAAGTCAAGGCTATGGTTTTCCCAGTTGCAATGTATGGCTGTGAAAGTTGGACCATAAGGAAGGCTGAGCGCCAAAGAATTGAGGCCTTTGAACTATGGTGCTGGAGAAGACTCCTGCGAGTCCCTTGGACTGCAAGGTGATCAAACCGGTCAGTCCTAGAGGAGATCAACCCTGACTGCTCTTTAGAAGGCCAGGTCCTGAAGATGAAACTCAAATACTTTGGCCACCTAATGAGAAGGAAGGGAGAAGAGCCTAATGCTGGGAAAGATTGAGGGCAAAAGAAGGGGATGGCAGAGAACGAGGTGGCTGGATGGAGTCACTGAAGCAGTAGGCGTGAGCTTAAATGGACTCCAGAGGATGGTAGAGGACAGGAAGGCCTAGAGGAACATTGTCCATGGGGTTGCAATGAGTTGGACACGACTTCGTGACTAACAACAACAAGATCATTCTGAGAACTTCTATACATACCCTCTCCTTGCAAGTGATATACACCAGGATATGAACAGGTCCTCAAATCTAATGCCTTAAATATAATCATCTAAAGTGCCACGGTCTGAGAGTTCAGATTTTAGTAGAGGGTTTGATCCCCAATATTTTCTGGCTAGTAACGTCTGCCAATTTCTTAACAGAACGAAACCGGCCATGTGGTGCTTCCTGATAGTCCATGTCATTGTGAAAGTAGTGAGTAATTAATAAACAAACAAACAAACTTTTAGAAATTTCATTGGAAGCTGCCTAATTCCAAGACATACAATTGGTCTATTAACAGTGGTGGGATTCAACCGGTTCGCACCACTTCGGCCAAACCGGTTGTTAAATTGCTGGCCGGCCCCTTCCCTCCCCTTCTATAAGTCCCCACACGTCCACCCCCCCCCGCAGCCCATTTTTGCTGCCAGGAGGCCGCAGGGAAGCCTAGGCTCAAAACAGGGTGCGAGGGGGGATGAACCGTGGTCCCCCCCATGGTCCCTTTTTGCTCCCAGGAGGCTGCAGAGAGGCCTACTAGGCCCAAAACGGGGCATGGGGGGTGTGATGTGCCCCCCCGGCCTGTTTTTGCTCCCAGGGGTATGCAGGAGGCAGAGTGCTGCCTGTCATACCCCCTGGCCACACCCACCCAGCCAGTCATTAGGGCAGAGAACAGGTTGTTAAATTATTTGAATCCCACCACTGTCTATTAAGCTCAGTACAATATTGATTCTAGTAACTGAAAGCAGCTCTCCCAATTTTGAAACCTCAGATTTTCCAAGGATAAGAAACTGCTTTTTTTGGCTGACCTAACCTGGTTCTCTTAAATACGAAACAAATATTCTATCTCTGAGCTATTATCTTTCCCCCATATTGCTAGTGATAACATTTATATTAAGCACTGTACACTAAGCAGTTTGAGGCGAAGAATGAAAACAGGCGAAAAGCAACTGTTTTAGGAGCCTTATTTTGTTATTGATTTTTCTAGGGGTGGACAAATTTCAAAAACTAAAATGATCACTTTACCTCCCCAACTGGAAAGATTTTTGTTCTGCTGCCAAGTCCAACCCAGAGCATTTTATTGGAACCAGAGCGTACCAGATCAAAATGCCAGCCACTGGCATTTTGCCAGCCAGTGCTCCTACCAGGATATTCCCATTCAATGTTTCATCCTCTTTTTCACATCAGACAGTCAGAGAAATCTCTTTGCTCATTAAATTGGTTTGGTTTGGGAATATCCTTGTTGTTGTAATTTTTTTAAAAAACATTCTCATTAATTCTTTAGAATTTACCAAGCCCACTGATACCTGCCTTTTGCACATAACATATTCTTCTACCATATATACAAGGGGATGGACAAATAAAGAAGTTTGTTTCTTACTATTTTATGAGGTTTTGGATAGCCAAGACTATTCTCTTTTTGATGGTTACATTCCTTTTATTCTTTCGTCCAATTTAATCAGCACAACAGACATATTATGAGCTGTGGTGGCCCAGTGGTTAGAATGCAGAACTGCAGACTACTTCTGCTGCCTGCTGGCTGCCTGCAATTTGGCAGTTTGAATCTCATCAGGCTCAAGGTTGACTCAGCCTTCCATCCTTCCAAGGTCGGTAAATAAGGACCCAGATTGTTGGGGGCAATATGCTGACTTTGTAAACCACTTAGAGAGGGCTGTAAAGGACTATGAAGCGGTATACAAGTCTGAGCACTATTGCTATTATATAATCTAGAAAAGCTGATTATAATTTCTCTTACCATAATATTTGAACCATCTCTCCTTAACCATACTGCCATTGGTCACAATGCTAACACTCGGCAACTTTAGCTCCTCCTTGCAAAATTGGACCAGCTTTCCGACAAAATCACCTCGCTCATGCAGAAACGGTTCACCGCCTGAGAAGTTTATTTTCTCCATACCTGGGATGTGCCAGAGAGAACAAGAAAGTGATAGGAACATTCAAGCAGTACACCTACTGCAAGAACAATTATCAATAATAAAAAAAAATCACTAGATTTTCTAAACTATTTTTCTCCTACACATATACACAGAATGTCAAATTGGATGGTTTACATAGCTCAGTATCATTAATATGCTGTTTTCTTCACCATGGACCCCTTTAAATATCTTTTGTGGCCATGAATCGTGGCCAAGGACCTCTCTCAAGACTTAACTCAAAATTTAAATCATAACTTTTTTTCAAGACTTTGTGGACCCCCTGTGACATCATCGTGGTCCCCCAGGGCTCCACAGACCACAGGTTGAGGACCAATGATGTAGAGTTTAAATGAGGCATTTTCTCAACCCAACCAAAAGATCCCAGACATTAGAGGTGAAGCCACTGGCATGCCAAGTGTGTGTCCCATCACTGAACTTATTTTGTGGATCTCTTGCTGTCTTAAGGACTCTATCCATTTTCCCTGAATTATATGGATGTCTCCTGGCTCCCAAATATATCACCATACCCAATGGGAAGGAAGGAAGGAAGGAAGGAAGGAAGGAAGGAAGGAAGGAAGGAATAAATAAATAAATAAATAAATAAATAAATAAATAAATAAATAAATAAATAAATAGAATCTGGAACATAAACACAAAATTGAATAGATCACAGTTGTTAAAAATTCCAAAGAATCAAAAGTGCAAAGTATATGCAAAAATAGCCATTAAATTATGTGGAGCTCGATTTTCAGTAGTTATGGAGAATAAATAAAAGCAAAGACTTCCTTCAGTCAATTTCTCATTACTAATGAAACAAACAAAATGTTTAAAAGTTATGATATTTATATAGTTACTTACCAAGCACATCTAAATTATTTTAAAGTAAGCAAAATATCTTTACAATCCTTAAGGCATGTCACAACTTTTGAGCACCCTTAATGTTTGGAAATTGAAAGTTAAAAAATTTGACATGCCCTAAAATATGCATGCAAGCCAAAATGGTATACGGGCTCTTTTTTGTGTGTGTGCCTTTAAATCATTATTGACTTCTAGCACTGCTTGGACTAGTTCCTGCTATTTTCTTGGTATTGTTTTCCAGAAGTGGTTTGACATTTCTTTCTTTCTAGGACTGAGTGGGAGTGACTGGCCCAGGTCATCCAGCTAGTTTGTGCCCATGTGGAGATTACAACTCATGGCCTCCTAGTTTCTATCCTGGTGCCTTAACCACTACATCAAATTGGCTGTCATATGATCATTCTCCAGGTACTTTTTCTTAATTACAATTTAGAGGGCATTATTATGGTTTGTCACACTCAGCCCAATGTTTACACTGGTTTGGCATTTTTGTCCATCTAACAAGTCCTTCCCTAGGACACTGGATAGGCAGATGTTGTTTGATGGTGGTTCATTGTATCACTGCAGGATGTAAGCTGCTCAAAGTAAAGCTGTCTTTTACAATTGACTGATGGTGATTTTGTCAATTCTGATGGCTGGAGCAATTAAACTGGAGCAAGTTGTTTTGGGATTGTACCCCTGATTGTACCCTATTGGTGCTACCTTTGCTTTCTTTTGCCACAGTCATACTATTTCTATTCGCAGATTTTTGTATTTTGTGATTTTTCTCCAGGTCTTTTTCTTCTATTCTGCTGTCTCCATGTACTGCAAAGCCACTATCCAGACCTTGTTTTTTCTTATCAAAAATGTTGTATGACAGGTGCTTGTATGTTTGAATTCTAAACTCCCAGAGCATTTTAGCCTTTTCAGTTTCTATTATGTCTACTTTGTGGTCCCACCAGTTCTTGCTTGCAGACGAAGATATTTCTTTTTTTTTAAAAAAAATAATCTTTATTTACATTTATCATTAAAAAAGAAGACCACACACCAGATAAATAACAAACAGAACAACAAGACAAAAAACATACAGGCATATAAATAGTACCTTAATAACTTAATATTTGGTACAGTAGATCTATATTACATTCCGGGGGAGACAGAACAACCTAATTTGAATTTATGAATCAATCAGGTCTATCTGACCTCACTTTAATTGTATAATAAAAGGTTTTCGATAAATACAACTCCTATTCTGGTTTGGGTTGTAATTTTCTCTTCGATAACCAAATATACAGTTTTTCCCAAGATAAACATATTTGCGTTTGGTCTCTATCTTTCAGTTTTTTTGTCTGAAATTTATCTGCTTCCGCACAATCCAAAATCTTCTTTATTATTGTTTCCTCTGATGGGGTATTTTTATCTTTCCAGAGTTGGGCAAATGTTAATCTCACTGTTGTGATAATATGTAGTGCAAGGTACCATGAGTCTTTTTTGATATTTACCGGTTTGGAGCCGAGCAAGCATGTCTCTGGTCGCCATTCAATCTCTTAGTTTAAGATCTCATTAAGCCATTTTTTAATTTTCTCCCAAAATTTAACTGCTTCTGGGCACATCCACCATTGGTGATAATAAGTGCCATGCTCAAATCCACATTTCCAGCATTCAGCAGACTGTCCAGTAAACATTTTTGCCAATCTATCAGGTGGGAGATGCCATCTGTATAGCATCTTGTAAATGTTTTCTTTATATGCAGTAGAGACTACTAGTTTCATATTCCCCCACCAAATCTCTTGCCATTTTTCCAGATGAATTGAATAACCAAAGTTTTTCCCTCAGGCGATCATTGTATCCTTTATTATCTCTTTGCCAATCTCTAACCTCATCAACAGTTTATAGCTTTTAGAAATCATGCCCCTGGCCCATCAAGATTTTATCTAATTCCTGCAAATCGACATTTATGCCTTTCCTATCTCGGTCTCTTTTATATTTTGATTGGACCTGTAAATAGGTCCACCAATCCAATTTCTTGCAGATCTTCCAATACACTTTCTCATGCTGTTGTTTGTAGTCAGTCTGTGCTATCTTCTTGCAACAGTTTACTGGGTGGTCCAGTTTCTTCAGCTTCTTTGCAGAGGCAGCATTTGCTGTCTTCATTGCTGTCTTCTCAATTCCGGTTTTGCATGCATTTGTTCTTAAGGCTTGACCTTGTACAGCCAGAATTAAGCTCCTCGGTCTCTTTCTTCAATTTTCCTGCTCTTAGCTATTGCTATTCTTGTTCTTATCTGCTTTGCCTGCTACTTTTTTATGTATTGGCCATGTAATACTTGCCCTTGCCATGTCTCTTTTCTATTCTTCATTTGATCTTTCTTGTAGGCTAGTTTGGTCTCTCCAGTACTTAGTAAGGCTTCATGGAATACTAGCTTCAGGGCATCTTCTTCACTCTCCTTCAGATCCTCTTCTACAGGTAATGCTTTTTCGCCCTTCTTCAGCTGTCTGGTGTACTTACAACCTTCCACACTGACCTATTTTCCTTGGTAAGTAGAGTCTGTCAACTTTGCTGTGTGGACGAAGGGCAAGACTCATTGTCATTTGTCTTCCTAGCTAGGACTTTTAGTTCTGCTTGAGTCATTTCCACTAATGAGTTTGGACGCCGAGATCATTATTATTACTATATTTTTCATCCTGCCTTTTATATATTTTTTATCAGTTCAATGCATCAAACATACTTAATACTCCTAGTTCTAATTTTCCCTACAACAACCATCCTGTGAAGTAGGGTGGACTGAGTTTGCCACTGCTTTTTTTCTGGGATCTTTCCGATTTCTTGATTGAAGCCTACAGCTTCAAAACTTCCTGGTGATCTCCTGCCAATTATAAAACAATCCTTAGGGATTCATTTATTTATTTTTCACATCAACCAAGGTCAGCTAAGTGGTGGACTAATGAGAATTCTGTAGTTATTAAGTACAGTAAATCAAATCTGGGTGTCTAATAGTTAAGTAATGTTTTCTGTTTCACAGTTGCTTACTCCTGTTAAGAATTGTGTGAAATGCAGAAACGGTCATACCCAGCCCAGCTTAATTTAATACAACAAAAGACCTGGTGAAACTTTGAAATTTAATAAATATAGCGCAAGCAAAATCTCTTTTGTTTTGCTGCAAAAGGTGCTGCTGTCCTTTATTAAACTGATCCAGTGAGGTAAGTATTTCAAAAGAGACTCTCTGCACTGGTCCCCACATATAGCCCTCTATAATATTCTCAAGGAAATTTTGCAAAGCCAGCAGCAGAGCTGTGGGCCAGGGCTGTAAAATGCGTGCATTTCGGCATTTATTTTACACGGCTTACATTGTCAGAATTGTTATTTACCCCCAGGGTTTTAAAAGCTGAATTATGGCTAACTGGTGGTGGCCTTCTACTGCTGCACCATAGAGAGTATTTTAACTTACTGCATCTGTATAAGGTTTGCCAACTGCACAGTGGCAGATAAGACAGCACTCCAGAGGGTTAACTTTACTGCCCAGAGAATTATTGGTTGCCCTCTCCCTGATTTGGAAGACCTTTATAGCTCCTGCTGCCTTAAGAAAGTTCAAAACACTTTTAAAGATCCATCTCATCCTGGGCACCCTTTTTTTGAACGATTATCATCTGGCAGACGGTACAGGATAATAAAAACAAGGACAAGTAGGCTGAAAAACAGCTTCTATACCAGGGCAATAACCATACTGAATTCTATGGTATAGTGCAATATTGGGTTTTCAATTTCAATTATGTAGAATGTAAAGGATGTAGGTTTGTGTTTTTATTTTTATAGTTATAATGTACACTGAAGACAGCATTTCATTTCGTTGTACCATGTCCAATGACAATAAAGTAAACTAAACTAAACTAGCCTCATTAACCAATTGATTCATAATCAATCACCAGGGAGACTGAATTCTAGTCCCACCTTAGGCATGAAAGCCAATTGGGTGACTTTGGACCAGTCACTCTTTCTCAGCCCAACTTACCTCACCCAGTTGTTGTGTGGAAAATAGGAGTGTGGAAAAGTGTCTCTATGGAGATTCTCCGTCATCCAGGTCATGGTTGTCCCAAAGGTGCTTTTTCAAGAGGCAACGGGACTTTCTGGTTTTTCTTTGAAAACGTTTCCCTTCTCATCCAAGAAGCTTCTTCAGCTCCATCCTGTAAGAGCTGAAGAAGCTTCTTGGATGAGAAGTGAAACATCTTCAAAGAAAAACCAGAAAGTCCCATTACCTCTTGAAAAAAAGCACCTTTGGGTGTATTGGATAAGTTCCTCGTCTTGAGTTATTTACAAAAATAATAAAGACAGAATTAAAAAAAAAATCTAATAAATAAATACATATTCAAATATTCACTGAATATTAAATAAATATTCAGAAGGCAGCATTAACATCTTTGCCAAGAAAAGAGGAGGAGGAGGAGAAGGAAAAGGAGAAGTAGAAGGAGAAGGAGAAGGAGGAGGAGAAGAAGAAGGAGGAGGAGAAGGAGGAGGAGGAGGAGGAGGAGGGAAGGAGAAGGGGAAGGGGAAGGGGAAGGGGAGGGGAGGAGGAGGAGGAGAGGAGAAGGAGAAGGAGAAGAAGAAGAAGAAGAAGAAGAAGAAGAAGAAGAAGAAAGAAGAAGAAGAAGAAGAAGAAGAAGAAGAAGAAAGAAGAAGAAGAAGAAGAAGAAGAAGAAGAAGAAGAAAGAAGAAGAAGAAGAAGAAGAAGAAGAAGAAGAAGAAGAAGAAGAAGAAGAAGAAGAAGAAGAAGAAAGAAGAAGGCAGCAGCAGCAGCAGCAGCTGGGAAAATAAAAGTTGCATGTTAAACTTTCATCTAGCAGTTTGGTACCCCAGAAACGTGAAGCAAAGCTAGAGGCGATCTGGTGGCCTCCCATATCCGCTCTACTTCGGATGTCTATTGCGCTCCATCCCCAGCGACCAGAGCGAGAAAACCCTTCCGCCACTGGTTCAACCCCATGCCCTCCGTAGCTTCCCGGAGCCGGCAAGGGAAAAAGGGTCACTTACCCGCCTCTTTGAGCAATCGGAGCCCCCTCTTAGCCACCTGCAGCGGCAGGACGAAAGAAGTCTTGGCGGTGTGAAAGCAGAAGCCGCACTTGTAGTTGCACTGGCGGGTGAAGTGGTAGTTGACGCTGACCGGCACCGGCGGGGGAACAGCGCCTGGCTCCGGAGCCGAGCTCGGGGAGACTCTGCGGCGGAGCGGGCCCCAAAGACAGAGGAGGACCAGCCGGCTGCAGAAAGCCGCCAGAGCCTGGAGCAGGAGACGGAGGAGCTGGCGGGGAGGCGAGCGCATGATGCCTTCTCCTTCTTCTTCTGCCTCGGGATTGCGGCGCTCCAGAGGAGACCGCGGCTTTTAAACGACCAGATAACGGCGGGCATGTGATCCTCGCTCGCCTGACCCGAAGTTTCGGTTTCCTTTACGTAGAAATCGCTCGGTGCCGTTCAAGGTGGCCAGACTCGCCGCGCCTTGGATGGTGCGTATGTGTGTGTGTGTGTGTGTGTGTCCCAGGCGGAGCTCCGAGAGGAAATGCTAGAGGAAAATGGGACCAGTTTAGGAAGCTGGAAGTGGCAGCGTTTCAGGACTTGAAAGACTTGGAGGTTTAGGACTCTCGCTCCGGCAAAGTGCTCGGCCCAGAACGGCGTGCGTAATGGGTGCTTCAAAGGAAAAGGGGGTGTTTCGTGGCGAGCGCAGGTTCCACATTCTACAAGACCCTCCCCACAATTCTTCTCCTAAGACGACAGAGTTGGGTTCCTTGAAGGACCGAGGCAAGGCGGGCATAAGTCTAGACTAGACTAGACTAGACTAGACTAGACTAGACTAGACTAGACTAGACTAGAATAGAATAGAATAGAATAGAATAGAATAGAATAGAATAGAATAAAGTATTTGCAATGCGGATGATCAGTAGAGTTTACACTTGGCTATACTCGCACCCCATCCTAGTCTTTGCCTGCTCAAGAGTTCTTACTTGGGTTACCCGTTTCTGTCAGGGAGGGGGACTCAAAAGTTTGGTGGGGGGAAAAAAAAGGATAGACATGGACTCTGCCAAGGGCATTGGTTTTGTAAGCCTTCAGAAGAGAGGACCAAAAAGTCAAGATTTCGTTTGACTTTCGGTTTTTTGAAGTTTTGGGAATTTCTGAGGAGCAAAGTTAATGCAAACCTGACAGGTATCCATTTCACAACTGAGATTTGTGCTCCTTCCTCCCCCCCCCCCCGCTTTGGAGAATGGCCCTTGGTTGGGGTAGCCCTCCTTGTGCATCCTTAACTTCCAGAAGGATAAGGAGGCAGCCTTGCTTGCTGGCCAACCACATTTCAGTGTAGCACATTGGATAAATCTAGTGGGAGGGGGGACACACAAGGAAGGGGGTAGTTTGTGTTAGGATGTCGCAGAAACCTACAAAATGGGATAACTGAATTTACCCATCGATAGTTATTTCTTGTGAACACAGCCAGCAGACAGATACTTGTGTTTGTCACCATTTGTAAGACCTAGACACAGTACCAGACTTCACATTTAGGGTTATAACTATAAAACATACAGGGATATTTTTCCTCATTTAGGAAGTATATAGTGTAAGTCAATTCTATTGTGGCAGTACATTATGTCTCTGATCAATACATTTGTGTCTGAATAATTGAGTCATAGGGCTGGAAGGCACGCTGGAGGTCTTCTACTCCAACCCTCTGCCCAAGGCAGGAGCTCTTATACCATTCTGGAGAAATGGTTGTCCAATCTTTGCTAGAAAATCTCCAGCAATGGAGCACCACAACTCCAGGAGGCAAGTTGTTCTATTGAATAATCATCGGAAAATTACTCCTTAGTTCCAAGTTGGATTTCCCTCTGATGATCTTCCACCCATTACTTCGTGTCCTGCCTTCAGATGCTATGGAGAGTAAATAGATGCCCTCTTCCTTATGACAGCCCTTCAAGTATCGGAAGACATGTCCTCCCCAGGCCTTCCCTTCGTTAGGTTGAACATACTTCGTTCCTTTAACTGATTATGGTATGACTTAGCCTCCAGGCCCCTTTTCAGCTTTGTTGCTCTTCTTTGGACTCTTTTGAGGGTCTCACATCTTTTTTGTGTCATGGTGACCAGAACTGGATGCAGTATTCCAAGTTATGCAATATTTATTTATTTATTTATTTACCAAAAATTTATATGCCGCCCTTCTCCCTAAGGACTCAGGGTGGTGAACACAAGTTAAAAACATACAATGATAAAAGATCAAAATGATTAAAACCCAGTTAAAACAACGACAATCAAAATAAGAAAAACCCAAGGATCAAGGTCAACCCATTTGTTGAAACAGCCAGGTCTTTAAGTCCCGACGGAAGGAGCAGAGATCAGGCGCCGTCCGAAGCTCGGTGGGTAACTCGTTCCAGAGGACAGGGGCGCCCATGGAGAACGCTCTAGCCCTGGACATCACCAGCTGACATTGTCTGGCCAACGGTACCTAAGGAGGGCAGCCCTGTGAGATCGAACAGGATGGTGGGAGGCAGGTAGGAGATAGTCCTGCAAATACCCCAGACCTAAGACATGTAGGGCTTTAAAGGTGAGTACCAGCACCTTGAAGCGGATCCGGAGGACCACTGGTAGCCAGTGCAGCTTGCGTAGAAGAGGGGTTACACAGGAGTAACGGGGAGCTCCCGTAACCACCCGCGTGGCCACATTCTGAACCAGTTGGAGCCTCCGGGTGCACCTCAAGGGCAGCCCCATGTAGAGGGAGTTGCAGTAATCCAAACGAGAAGTAACCAGGTCATGAGTGACCGTGCGGAGGGCATCTCTGTCTAGGAAAGGGCGCAACTGGCGCACCAGGTGAACCTGGGCGAAGGCCCCCCTGGTCACAGTCATAAGATGGTCTTCCAATATTCCAAGTGTGGCTTCACTAGCAAAGTATAGAGCAGTACTATCACTTCCTGTGATCATGATGCTAATCCTCCGTTGATGTGGGAAAGCCTTGATTTTTTTGGCAGCTGCAGCCCACTGCTGACTTATACTTAAATGGTGGCCCACCAGGACACCTGAGAATCCCTCTCATAGGCAATATTGTTGAGCCAGGTACAGCCTATCCTGTACTTCTGCATCTGTTTTTTCTTGCCTAAGTGCAGGACCTTACTTTTCTCGCCACTGACCTATATCTTGTTGGATAGGGCCCAGAATTCAAGTCTGTCAAGTCAAGATTCTTCTGAATCTTGGGTCTGTTTTCCAAATTGTTGGCAATTTCTCCCAAAAATCAGGAGCCTAGACTGAAGGTTTGGTTTTTTTTAAAAGCTCCCATTGCATTCCCATAAGTAGGCCTTTGGCTTATAACAGTGTGTGATAGCTATTAATCCAACAAATACAGTACAACATTTTGTCAGAAAGCAGTGCAGGAATGAAAACCTTTTTTCCCTTGAATTTTTTAAAGGCATATATATAAAGCATTTTAGAGAATTTATAGACTGTAAAGATGGGATAAAGAGATAAGACCATCCTAAAGTTCACATCACATCCCATCCACATCATTTATGCATGTGTAAATAATAAAACTCCAGATTCTCTTTCTCTAACATGCAAATATCAATATTCTTTGTTTATCAGTTATTTTTATATTATTCTGAATTAGATGCCTTTCAGGTATGCTTGGCTACAGTTCTCATGTGCTACAGTACTTAATCCAGGGTGCTGGGCGGGATGTGGGTGTTATCATGGTCAGTGGAGAGTTGTCCCCTCTAGCATCACACAGAGGTTTCTATCATGACTACCAGATACTGTCATTCGTGGCATATGCTTAGAATAGTTCAATACACAGGTTAATGGAAAACAGCATTTACTGTATGATATGCTGCTCTATTTATGTTGTCATCTGGCTGAAGCGATAGCAGCTCACCACAAATATTAGACTAGCCATACTGGATTAAAATAGATAGCAGTGGTAAAGACATTTCCAGCCTCTTTGCAAAGAGTTTTGAATGTTGGTGAAGCGAAATTAGTGATGTGGATAAGGCCTAATAACTGTAGCAAATGAAAGCAATCGTAAGAATCAGATGGCACCGCCCAGTACGCTCCCACAGAGAGGGACTCCTCAGGGTGCCGTCAGCCAGGCAATGTCGGCTGGTGACCCCCAGGGGGAGGGCCTTCTCTGTGGCAGCTCCTGCCCTCTGGAACGATTTGCCCCAGGAGATACGAAGGATATCAGATTTCTGGGCCTTTCGCCGTGCCCTAAAAACTTTTCTTTTTCATCAAGCAGGGCTGGTGTGAAACCCCCCCCCCCCCTCTTTTTTTAGCTTTTTAAATTGTCAGTGGGTTTTAGTTTGAATGTTTTAAATTTTGGGCCAAAGTCATGTAATTCTTTTAAAAATTTTAAATTTTGTATTGGTATGTGTTTTAGTTCTGGCTGTGCACCGCCCTGAGTCCACTAGGAGAAGGGCGGTATACAAATTGAATACAATAAATAAATAAATAAGTTGTGTTATTTGGAGAAAAATAAATCAGAGTTGAAAACTGACTAGTGACTTAAGTAGAAGCAAACACTGAACTAGCCAAATGTTTAGAGAGTCTGCTGAAGTTTATTCTGTGAACAGTCAAGGGTAGGGTTTGAAAACAAAAGTACATACTTTGGAGCCTAGGCAGGCCAAACTAAGAACTCAAGGCAACATTGACAATTCAACATTCCAGAGTTTGAATTCTGCTGTCCTAGACTTTTAGCAGAATCTCAATCAGCCTTCTACCCTCCACTGTAGACATATAAGCAACTCATTAGTTGGGTGCTCTCTTTCTCTCCCCCTTTCTTCCCTCTTAGGAAGATTTTCCAACCAGGAGGATCCAGCTGTCTTCTCTCCCTGTGGAATGAGCTCAGGCTAGGCCAGGCCAGGCCAGGCAGGATGGAAGAGTGGGGAGTTTCCTTCTGCAGACCTGATAAAAGTAATCCAGCAGATATTTTCTTTGTGGGTTTCTGCTTGTTGTCTTCAGAGAACTTTCTTGATCTTCTTCCACGCCTGCCTCTTCAACAGGGCAGCCTTTATGCTCAGCAGGTCCTGAATCTGAAGGCACTCATTCACAAGAAGGCTGGAGTGCTGCTTTCCCCATAAACGTGTGAAAATAGTCTGTGTGAGGACAGATGGTTGAATCGCGGGCGCCCATAAAAAGCAGAATAACCCATACATCAATATATACATTTCGTCTCTATCAATAATGGTTCTGGAGAAATTATGCGAATGGCTATAAGAAACAGTGCTTTTTCTGTCGAATAGATGAGGGGTTAATTGGAGTTCAGTTTTTATTCCTTGTGTTTTTTCCCCCCTTGTTCCTGCTTTCCTGTCCCACTTTATTATTCTTGTTTGGCCAGAGATGAGAACACTCTTCACCAAGGACATTGATAGAGCAACCATGACTCCTGCTATGTTTTTTTTCCCACCCACAATGATAGGGAGTCTAAATTGCCAGAGGAATTCTAAATAAAACATCTGGAAGGAGATTATTTTTTTTTTACAAAAACAGTTATGCTCCATTTTGTAGATGATTCATCAGTGCCAAATCTGTACTATTTGTTTA